GGTCGGGTCTCCAGGTGATACACAATGCTCACGGCACCCTGTGAGACCTGCTGTTAGTACAGGCCTCTCCCAGGAGGATTTCCTGACTTACATTCCTGGTGGGCCATGGGATCAGCTAGAAGTACAAAGTGACCTACTGGGATCCTTCATTCTCTTCCAGTGTAAGAGGTCCCATAACATGTGTGTCTAGGGAGGCTGTACAGGCAAGAGAAAGAAAGAGGTGCACTAGAGGGAGTAAGTATTTCCACAGCAGGATTTGGTGGTAGACCAGCTGAACTGTACTGAAACAGTGCCTGGCTGTTGTGGGAAGGAGATGCAGGGTCCAAGAAGGAGCTCTGCAAGGCTGGGACTATGTGGGGACTACTGTTGCAGAATTCAGTAGAGACAGCAGGCAATAATCTGCTCCTTACCTTCTGGAGAAGGTAGCATGGACAACCCCACATGGAGGGTGAGCAATGGAGAGTCCACCGAAATCTGCAAATCGTAGTCCAAGATGTCTCTAGTCCTGGCGACACCAGCACCATCTAGCACAGTCATGATAAAAGAGGAACCAGGGACCTGTTAAAAATGAGATTTCAGTGTGCACCTCCAATGGACACTGCAGTTAAAATGAAGCATCTTGGCCTGCTTGGCTACCTGACAGCTCACTGCCTGCTGTTGGAGACAAGATGCTGGACTAGATGGAGATTCAGTACAGCATTCTTCCAGTTCTTACAGTCACATGTATAGACATGGAATAAGTTCCTCCTCCCATTTGCTTAAAGGCAATTCTTAAACTCCCAGGCCAGCAGTTTCTAAAGTGGCTTCTGATTTTGGATACCTCCATTTTGGGTCTGTATTTTGGGTCATATTTCAATTTCTATGTGAGTATGCTTAATCACTACTTTGACATCAGGGCTGGCACCTCTCAAACTGCTCACTCCAAAGTCCAGGCGTTTCAGAAGAGCGGCCGTTTGTGTATAACTAATTGGGTGTTATTTATTGAGCTGGCAGTGGGAGACAGTCTGTAGCACAAAGCTCTGTGCTGCCCAGCAGGTCACAGTTACAGTGGTTTGGTTTCTCAGTATTGCTGGATTGCCACTGTTTATACAGCAAAGACAGACCCTGACTGAACATCTGCCGTGACGGGGCAGAGAAGAGAACTTTGTCCTTAAACTTTCCTAACTCTAGTAATCTGCGTACCTCTCATTAGCTGCAGTCTGGAAATTCTCAGTTGCTTTTAATTGTTGGTGTGGTGAGTGTCAAGATCCTCGCATGACAGGAAAGTAAACGCTGTGACTGCAGCTTTGCTGGGCCTCTCAAAATAAATGACTATTCTGCATTTGTGCCTGTGGATTCTTCTGTCACTGTTCCTTCTGCTGACAGTGTCACATTACAAACAGTATGTTTTCTGAAAAACAGTTGTCTAATAAAACATAAAACAAAACCCTTCCTGGTTTTGTCAGTCAAATTGAAGAAGATAGTTTTTATTACTGCACAGGAGATTAATAATAATGAAAATCAATAAACACCCCCCACCCCCAGCAGTGACTTGACAGCAGACATGAGGCATGTGGATGGACCTTACTCAAAGCAAGAACCTAAATGCAGTGGAACAATGGATATCTGATAATTATGTCTAATAGAGAAAAACCTGTGCCTTGCCAGAAATAAATGCCATTTTGACAACTCTGTCTTAACCTTTCACTCTTCATTGTGGAGGGCTCTGTACTCCTCATAGAGACCTAGAGTTTTGGGTTTTTTTAAACTCTGTTTCCTGATGAATGCTGGCACTCATGGGCAAATTCATGAAAAAGAAGGAATCTTACCTATCTTTTGCATCCACACACTGGAACAAAAAAGAAGAAAAATCCACTACCTGAGTATCTGAGGGAGCCAGTACCTACCTGGTTCAAGGAAAAAGGATGATTCCACAAACAGCATTCTCAAGGCTCTATCAGCACTGAAAAAAAAAAAGTCTTGACTTTTTAACCTTATCATGAATCCATCCCACATCCTTGTGCTTCTAGCTTCATTTCCCACAGAGAATGAAATTTCTATGATCATGCCATCTGGCCGTCTATCAGCCAGTATGTTCTGAAGCTGCTTTCTATCAAACTGACAGGGGGATCTGGCTTCGAAGAGAATTAAGTGCCTATGAAATTAATGAAAATCGGCAGCTGGGTCAAAGACAGAGATCCAAATGAGTGCCCTTGCTAAGGGAAAGGTAGGCAGCATGCAGCCGTTTTAGACGCTGCTTGCTAATGTCGGTCATCATGTGTGCAGCTCTGGACCCATCAGAGCAGATGGTGCTTCTTGCTCTGGAGATCGAGGGCTTAGGGTTGTTGTAGTGAGTAGTACAGGTGAGGAGAGGCGAGGAAGAGGCAATAGAACACACCTGTAGGAAACCAGGTCTCATTAGGTCCATAGAACAATGTGTTTAAAAATAAGCTTCCACTACTCACATAACTGTGCAGCTCCTGCAGTTCCTGAGGGCCCTGCAAAGATGTGGATCTGTTTCTCACAGAGAAGGCTGGCAGGCAATCACTGCCTCTTCGCTCCCACGCCCAAACCTGTCCTGCTGAGCTCCCATTACTTCCACTGCTCAGGACTGGAGTGAAACTCAAGGAAGCTTCCAGGGTTCTGGAGATAAGAACCTTACTCTGTGGAACCATATGAAGGGTATTAAAAGTTAGGACGGAAAGTACAGATGAGTTCAAAGTTTCCCTAAAGAAAAAATCCCAACCAGGGAAAGTTCAGAAGCAAAATGATTTCTCCTCCCCCAGCAAAGGGAGTTTCAGTTTTTGTTTTCCATCTCTTTCTCTCTTGCTTCACATAATGGGCTGTGGAACAGCAGCTGAGCTTGCAAGTACTTCTGGAGGGAAAGGGCTGTTTTGCTTGAAGCTATGCCTGTCCTAAAGGGAAAAACGTGTGGTTTTAGGAGTTCTAACTCCTGTATTTTAACTAACTGAGGAAGAATGTTCTTTAACATCACCTTGGCAAGTGTGTGTGGCATGTACATTTCCCAGATCAGACTGAAGCCTGGCCCTTTATGCTTACCTTCAGTGCGCTTCTGTGTGGGCAAGCCTGTGTCCTCAGCTAGCTTAGGCATGGCACAGCCCCTCCAGACTGCATCTGGTCAGGCTGTTTTGAGAAAGATTGCTGTGGGCTGACCCACAGCAGGGGCAGGAGCTTACTGTGGTTTTCTCACAGGAGGTTTCCCCACAATGAAAAGGAAGGTAGAGAAGGTTTTGGCCTCATGACTGGTTTATGAAGGGTAAATCTGTAGTTCTTCAGGACTCACAGAAAAAGACACTTGGGTGAAAGCGGAGTGTCCTTCTTGGAAGTGGGCTTGATGTGTGAATGACTCATGGGGGCAGGAGACCTATCACTTTAGTGAAGAACAGATGTGAGATATATTAACTGGAGCCCTCTTCTCTCCAAGATTTCCTTCATCAACCCCCCTCACATCTGTCTTCTCAAGGACTTTATTATTTCATACAGGAGAAAGTAGTGAGAGTGGATCCCTCTAGAGATCCACTGGGATTTACCTTTTACTTGTACCTATCTTCTAAGTAATGGATTGAGGTCCTTGAAACCAGAAAACACTGAGAGAAAAATAAAGCTTAGAGCCTGTTATATTTACTACATTTTTCAATGAAGATAGAAGCAAAAAGCTTTAAAAATAAGTTGCCTATTTCAACAGTGAGGCCCTCGGTGAAACTGATGTCTGACTACCCTCACAGAACAGATTGGAGTTTCCAAAAGTGTTACCCACCCACAGTGTTTACCCATCTGAGTTAGACTTTTGCATGCTGAGGACTTGTCAAACTGACTTCTCCTCCCAAAACTTACAGGAGGGGATTTGGCTTTAGGGTGCTCAGCCTGATGTAGCTTCCAGTAACTTGTTTTTCAAAAGGGGCTGATCATGCACTCTTCACCCTTCAAAAAGACTCTCCTAAATGGCTTCTCTCCAGCATCATCTCAGGAGCCTAGTGACAACAACCAGAACTGTTTTCAAAAAATAACATGTCAGCAAGTTTATGAGTTTCATGATTTGTAAAAGCTTCTGTGATCAACCTCAGACTTCCTCAAAAATTCTCCAGGGGGAAACAGCTCTAACAGATCACAAGGAAAGGACTTTTTTTTTTTTTTTTTTCAGATGCCTAGAGGGGATATCCAAATGGTTCCTCTTCTGGGAGTTGCCTTGATTTGGGGTTTTTTTCATGAGGGAATTTTCCAGCACATAATTTGGTAGAAATATGTCACTCCAGATGTCCCTGCTTTTCTTGAAAATACAAAATATACTAAGAAGAGATGCTGCTTCTACATCATGAGTGCCTACCTGGGGACCTACACATGCAATACTACAGAAATATAGTTTGTATTTCTCAGCCATGCTGTAAATTCCTGCTTAGCCCTTAGACCCATGTCACAGTGCCCTCGTGCTATTATGACCTGAGAGCTTAAACGTGGTTTCAGAAATCTTGCTTCATATGGCCAACCTTTGCACAGACACTGTCTTTAGAGCTGCAGAAAGCTGAGAGAGGATTTTGGGAGGCTGACAAACTTTTTCCCTTTCCT